TGTGACCGAGGAAATCGATGGCCGAGGTTCCAAAGACGCACTTAGCAGGATGAACTTTCATGTTGTTGTTCTGCAGGCGTTGGAGAAGGAGTTGTAGGTGGTGGCGGTGCTCGGCAGGCGTCGAAGATGCGACGAGGATGTCGTCAATGTAGACGGTGACAAAATCGAGGTCGCGAAGCATATGGTCCATGTACCTCTGGAAAGTCTGTGCTGCATTGCGTAAGCCAAAACGCAACACGCACTCCAACTTATAGAAGAGGAGTGCAACAGACTTGGACTCAAGATAAATCCAGCCAAGTCGAAAGCGATGGCCATCTGCACAGACACACCAGACAAGATGCTCTCCATACAAAACACGCCGGTAGTCTGGACCAACGCCCACCAGTGTCTTGGAATCTGGTTTGACCAGAAACTCACCTTCAAGCCGCAACTCGAGTACCTCAGGCACAGGACGAAGAGCAGACACAATATAATGAGGTCGCTCACCAGCACAACCGCAGGAGCAAACCTTCATGTGCTCAAAGCCTACTACACGGCCGCCATCAGATCGCTGGTAGATTACAGTGCTCCAGCACTCATTGGACTGAGAGAAGACCAAATAGCCAAGCTAGAAGTAATCCAAAATAATGCTCTTAGGACCATGCTCGGAGCACCCATGTGGACCAGAATTTGCAATTTGCAAATGGAAACCGAACTACCACCCCTGGCAGTACGAGTCAAGCAGGTGACAGCCGGTCTCCTCGCCAAAATCTGTAGATCAGATAAGCCCACAGTTGCCAAAATTCGAATCAGTGCCTCCCTCCACCTCGACCACAGAGTGCGAGGGGCCACCTGGTCGCACGAGGCAAGCGAGGTCATCCGACACCTGCAAGCAGAAACACTCGTCAAGAACAACCAAGACACACGAGACAATGGTTACGCTGTTCCTCCACCATGGAGCCCTCCACCAGCCACATTCAAAATTACCGACCTAGGCGATAGTAAAGCCAACCTCCAGAAGGAGGACCTCAAAAAAATAACTCTCGAAGCCATAGCCACCGAGACACTGGCTGATGCAGCATCATACTTCACAGACGGCTCGGTGGACCCAAAACATCATAGATCCGGAGCGGCCTTCTACACCCAAGGTCAGACCCTCCGATGGAGACTTTCCAATGACTGCTCCACCCTACAAACAGAGCTGGTAGCAATCTCAAAGGCCCTACAACACGCTGCAACACAACACAATAAGTCCATCATAATTCACACGGACTCGAAATCGGCCATGCAGGCGCTGCAACACAGTCAACCAAGAGACAACGTCCATATCATTACCTCGATCCTCGCACAGCTACAGGAATTCCAAAGCCAAATCCGCCCAGTCGTCTTACACTGGATTCCCAGTCACGTAGGGATCGGAGGAAACGACGTGGCAGACGAAGCAGCCAAGGCAGCTACACGATCTAGTAGCGTACACATCCAAGTTCCAGCAAGCATGCAACAGATCAAGAATCACCTTAGAAAGACTAGCAAGCTCCACATCAAAAAGAGCTTCCTTCACGCATTCAACTCTGGTTCCCAATCACCCAAACGGTACCTGGCGGCCACAAAAGGGGAACCACCTTTCGCTGACAAGAAAACTCCAAGACAAACCCAAGTCAGCCTTCATCGATTACGACTAGGGTACAAGTGCTCCTGGCAGATGATCGGAAATGACGTCATGGAATGCACCTACTGTCAGGAGCCAGCAGCCAACCCACTTGAACACTATCTCCTCGACTGCGAGGTCACACAAAGCCTCCGAAACAGAACTCAAATCTCCCAAGGAACACACACAACACCAGCGGCCACTCTAACCCGAAAGGCCCAAACAGACCACATTCACCACCTACTCCGGGTCATCACACGATACCCACCACCCAGATAGCTTAGAAAGCATCCTCTCCCAGCAAGTGCGGACCCCAGTTCGGGGGGCGCGCCACTCCGAAACTGACCACGTCCAAGAGTGGGGGTTGGTGGGAAGCGTCCACTGATCGGGGGTCCGCTCACACTTGCAACCTGCAGTATCCTTCCAATCTGCAGGTGGGACCACCTCCAATCCCAACCCGGTCTGGCTGCTCCTGGAGCTCCAGCCGGAACCACCAAACGGGCCGCCTATAGGCAAAGGCCCGTGTCGGACTAAGGTCCGACAATCTCAACAACAACAACCCAGGGAGGACATTCTACACTCAGCTACTGGACCAACAACATCTCTCATAGCTCCTCACCTAGTTACTCCTAAGCACTGCGCTGTACAACAATATATATACAGAAAGCGCATTGTGAGTTTCTGTCCTACCTCATTCCTGAGTGGAGATATCTACATGTACGTACGTTTGTGTGCCCATACAAAGATATAATAGACAACTAAAGAGAATTGACAACTGACCACATACAGTACGCTACAAGCTCATACTAGACAAGTTCCTACATTTAATAATATTTTGACCCTACCTTATAAGAACATAAGAAAAAAAGGAGTCTGCAATAGGCCGGTTGCCCTGTGCATTAGGGTGTGTCATACGAAGGCGAATTTTTTTTTTTGAGTTTGAAAAATCGGCCCATGGTATTAATGATGTAGTTCTATGTGCAGAATCATGTGATATCTTCAGATTTGAAAAGTTTTTATTTTTTGCTAGGTAAATTTTAACTTGAAATCTTATGAAAATTCAGTATTCCCACCCTTTTACCAACACCACTAAATAGCTTATTTAAAGTAAAGTAAATGTATCAGGTTAATTTATTAGGATGAAAATGATCCAGAATAGTGAAACGAATGATCTTGACACATTTATTAAATTTAATATTCCTTTAGAAAACAAAATCATCAAATACAAAAACCGGTTTTACTACTACGACCCGGTGTTGCTGCACACCATAGAGAACATGTCTTTCTTGCTTCTGTTTCTACTCATCACCTCCCTGCTGACCACCTGAGCTCGGATGTAGCCTTCCCTCCTCTCCTGGCTGTACACGTGACTGCTGGCCTCGCTCACTTGCTGTACACAACGCTCTATACTCTGGGTGTGCGAGGGCCAGGCAGGGACATGCATGGGGTTGTCCAGGAAAGCTCTGACTTGAACATTGGTGAGGCTGCAGGTAAGAGGGGGCTCACTGCCAGCCTTGATGTTATCCAGATCTATGAGATCAGTGAGGGTCTTGGCACCTAGATTGACTTCAGGAGTCTTCCTGACCCTGAAGGAATCGTCACCAACTGATTCGTCATGCCCAGATCCTCTCATAAGTCTCATATCCAAGATCTTTTTGACTGCCACTCTTCTCTCCTCCTCATCCTTACTGCAGAGCATTGTCTGCAGAACTGCCTCGGGATGAGCATACCAAGAAGATCTCCTCACAGTCTGTTCCACAATCTGAACAACCTTCCTTGGCTGACTCCTCAGGAGCTCAAGCTGGAAGAGAACATGCCTCGGACCTTCGGAGAACGATGACTTGACCTTGGTGTTGAACCAATTTGGTAAGTAGACACTCACGATGAATTGGACAATAAGTCTCAGGTTGTGAAGCTGGTTCCCTTTCAGTTTATGATGAGCGACCCAAATTCTGCAGAACCTGAGAGCCGTTGTGAGCCACCTAGAATGTGAGACTGGACCTATCTGCAGGTAAGCAAGTCTATCAGGCATGACCCCAGTTTTGATGGCACTGCAAATCATGTAACCATAGTACTGGTCAGTACTCAGGTCGTCAATGACAGTATGTGCAATCTCAACGAGTGGAGGGCCAACTGTGATTTTTTCAAAGCTCGGATTTATTTCTAACTCAGTGGCAGAGTCCAGCATCTTGCCAAGAGGACCAGACCATCTGTTGTTTGAAAGAGTCTTGCCATCCAGCTCCTGGATCAGATGTCTGAGTGGCAACTCGTTGGTGTGGAGGTCACAAACAATCCAGACCAGCTTCCTCCCAATCTTCCGCTCTATCCACTGTATGACCCCCCTTGCCACCCTGTGTTCGTGTTGGTGCTGTCCCCTCCAATGGCCTGCAGGGTCTGGTCTACGTTCGTTCATGTTAGGAATAATAATCATCCCATTGCTTGGGAAAAAAGCTTAGAAGTATTTAAATCAACTTGTGTCACAGAAAGACTTCTGGTTGAAGCTAGTTTGATTAAGGAATTAAAATCAATAAACCTTAGTGATGGTCAGTTCAAAACTGATAATATGTTACATAAATTTATTTGTCAGTGGCTCAAGGTTAAAAATGCTTTGAAAACCTTTGATCTTGATGTATGATAGTTATTTAGTGGGTCCCTTATTTTTGACCTGACCTGACACAAGGAAAAGGGAAACAATGGAGCACCTTAGCTTTCGTCTTTATTCAAGACATCTTCATTGGCAACTGAATTACATGGACAGAGAGAGGCTTAAACATATATATATATATATATATATATATATATATATATATATATATATATATATATATATATATATATATATATATATATATATATATATATATATGCTACATAAAAAAAGAAGAAATATGAAATATGCAGGAGACGTTTATTGCAATGTGTAAAATATATGATGGACACTATAAGGCCTCATAGTTTACATCATTATACTCAGCCAGTTCCCCCAGTTAATTTATAATTTACACTCCGTGTGTTTAAAATACAGGTCCAGTAAGCAGGTAATCTCTCACTGCCTTGACATTGCCAATGAGAAAAGGTCATACACTCTTAAACCCAAAGCTAGCCACTTCCGTGAGTCATTAAAAACTGTTTCATATGTTGTGATAAAGGTGAAAGACTGTGGTAGTTACAAGTACGAATACAGTGAAAAGTCTCTGGTATTAACTAGGAAGGAGAGACCGCGATTGTTCTACACAACTTATTCCATAACAAGTTCTGTAGCATATCAATATTCTATTTTTGTTTAAAAATATCAGTAAAATTTAATGTACTATAACCTCATTTTGAGGGCATGTGCACATGATATTAGGAGATATTCTGAGGTCAATAGTAATTACTCTTTACCGGACAAAAATGCCTGAGAGCAATATTGAATTAAAGAAATACTATTGGAATTTTCGGATAAAAAGGGGAGTCCAGGATCCCCTGGATCCGCCCCTAAGATATAAATATATATATATATATATATATATATATATATATATATATATATATATATATATATATATATATATATATATATATATATATATATATATATATATATATATATATATATATATATATATATATATATATATATATATATATATATATATATATATATATATATATATATATATATATATATATATATATATATATATATATATATATGAAGGATGAGGCACTATGGAGAGAGAAAGTCTGTCAACACGGAAGAGACCTTTACCTTTCTCCAACCTTAATTAATTCCCAAGTGACTCACACAAGTTAAAATGTTTATATTGTTGACTATATATACTTATTTCACTGTCACATTCTCGTAGTTACTCTTAGGTGATGAAACAGTAATGAATTGTGTGCGAAGAATATTATTTTGATAAATATTGCTTTACTCACCATATGCTGGCTGCATCTACCTGAACCGCGGGCCACATTAAATAGAATTTCTCAATCACTCCGCGGGCCGCACAAAGACATGGTCAGGGCCGCATGCCTGATAAGTGAAAATAAGTGACTAGTGACTCACCCCAGACCACCCAAAAGGTGTAAAGCCGCCGTGTTCACTCCAGTTGGTGGTGTCGACGTAGAAGAGACCGGCCACCATGATGAACACCCACACACAGAAGTTGATCAAGTTGAGTGTGTTGTTGAACTGCACGGATTTGCGCACCCCAGCCACCAGCACTCCTCCCATCATCAGAGTCAGCACGAAGGCTAACAGGTCCGGCGGTCCACCTGTCCACACAAACAGACACACATGATAATAAAGGGATTTCTTTAGGCGTTACAGAGAGGCCAAGGGTGCTTGACAACAGGGGAGGTCAACACATTGCCTTATTTTCGCACCTCAGTATTCGATAACACAACGACTTTCACTACACGCGACCGAGCAGATGATGCAGTTACTAACTTAATGGGTTCCAATCAGAGCAACAGGTGCTGCTCTGGAGCACTGTTATTGTTTTCGAGGCTGCTGGCTAAACTATTATAATTTTACCTCCTACCTCCTATACCTTCATACATTCTGGCTCACGTTTATATTGCACTATCGTTCATACTGTTAGCTAATAGCTGTGATTTTTAAGTCTTGATGCACCAGACAACTGTAGGTGTAAGACAGGTTGGCCAGATCCTGCCCGAGGTATGTTGGCACGGTTGTTGTTTATGAAAACTATATAAAAGAGAACACTGATAGCAGCTCTTAATGATTGTCGTTACAAATGTCGGATTAAGCCTTACAACATTTTTAACTCTTGTTATTGTTACCCGTATAACTCTATGGAAATTAGTGCATATATGGTGTAATTTTCAGATTTTATTGAAGTTCCCTTCAATATTGTAATAAAACTAAACTTTACCTGAATTAAGGTAAATTATTTTAGTTTAGTTAGAGTGTGCTGATGATATTAACCAATAACTTATGTTATGTTTTGCTACATAATTGCTTCTATTAATATATCAGTTTAAATTTTTCGAGAAAAAAAAATAATATATATATATATATTTATTTATATTGAAATTGTCGCAATTATCTCACTTACATAATGCAGTTACTTTAGTAAAATATATCTCCTCGTACATTTTCTTTCAGATAAACAGCACTTCATAATTTGTGTAATAAAGTGTATGTCACAACGGTCATGTAATGTATTTTCATATTAAGAAGGCAGTTTCGGAGATTATTAAAGGATGGAAATATAACAGTTGTAATATTATCACTCGTGACGTCTTCATCTGGCTGGGCATCAATAAAAATGTATTTCGAAAACTGATGAATGATACGTTGTCATCTCTTTAAAAAGTTCAATTGTTTGTATTATATTGGCCATTTGTGTCTCCTGTAAACAACGGCGCATACACGGAGGTATAGGGGAGACATTGTCTATATTATCGGACCCGAGGTTTACCACACCCACCCCTGTCAATTGCTCGTGTGTGCTCTGTGTTTCGCCTACTCGTTAGTGTCACGATTACAGTAACACCACCACTTTTTTTTTTTTTTTTAGAAATTGTGGAAATCTCTGTCATATATCCAAGATTTTTATGTACTGTAAATCTTGAAAGGTTTTCAAATATTAAATTACAATGGTGGTTTGATGTTCAGGTTCACCAAGATGTAGAAACAGAAACAAAATGATCAGAGTTGGCATTTGTATGTACAATAATACCCAAAATTTAAAGAAACTAATTACATCATGATCATAATATATGTATCCTTGTTACCATAAATAAACAAGAACAAAAGTCTCAATGGTGTTATATTTAAGTGGATGTACAGAGGGTGAAGCGAAAAGAATGGCCAGTGAAATGATAAAAGAAAAGAGCCTTGCTGTCCTGGTATTAAGAAGAACACAATTAGAAGGCAAAGAAGATATCTGCTGGTGAAATGTGAGGACATAAAGTCAAGAGTATCCTAAAGGGGAAGAACAAAAGATGATGTGACAATATCGATGAAAGATGAAAATGGAATTTTGTTATGGGGGGTTCAGAGGTAGTATTTGTATGTGCATTATGGTCAATAACTGATAAAGGCTTGACATGTTGTACCCTTGGATTTGAAAAATGACCAGAAGTGTGTGTGTTCGGTTTTACAATTAATCTGTGAACGCTTCTCTGCTGTTACACATATCATACCTTGGCGTTTAATGGTCCCAGAATACTCAAAAACAGTTTGTGTGTCGCCGAAAAACAACACGCCTTGTGTTTCATAATATATTTGGCTGTCCACGTGTTATCCCTCCTAACTCTTCTCTTCGCGTGGCTTTGGGGAGAAAACTAAATATGTTAATGATGTACTGTACACGTTGTTTATGTTGTAAACTTCGTAACAGTTGTGTATAATTGACTGTAAATTTAACTTTTGTACAGTACGTAACAACTCACACGCATGGCGCTATAATATTAGGTAATTATGACATTTACTTTTTTGTCGGAGATTGTAATTCGTACAATTAACATAAACTTTACACACTCGGAAGTCATCAACTAGGAACACAGTAAGTAAAATTTAGTTATGAATAGTTCAAAGTTAGTGAGAGAGGTAAAAGAGGTATACGTAATAGCTGGTCGAATGTATGAACAGTACAAACATACGTACATTACTCTATATACACAGCTGTGGTACTCACATTATTTAAGAACTTTAACCCATCATGTAAGCTGCTTTATGTGCTGAATATAATCGTCTGGCGTTAGTCAACTAAAATTCTGAAAGTGGCGTCCCCGAAGTGAAGGGGTTAGTGGAGATGGTCTATTAGTTTCATCCTATGTGATATTTTTCTATTTGAAAATTATTGTACTATTGTGCTGTATAATGTAAAGCCGTTACTTATGTCTCTTGCGTCCATCCTTTAAACTGTCAAATTATCTGAACGTGACTGTCCACGACAGGAAAACTAGGCAGAATTTACAGCAGGATAAAATTTAGGGATTTAACCGCCATAAGAATCTTGAGTGACGAGAAAAACGACATACTGAGGTGAGGGTCTAACACCTCGTGAACTTCATCGACGTTTACAGTGTTAGGAAATTATACATTACAAGACGAAAACGAAAAACTAAAATAGTGTGTTAGTTGACTGACTGCAGTTATTGATATAAAATGACTGAGAAACCTTAATTGAAAAAATGTTCAGCGAGTTTACATTACGTTTGTTGTTACATTAACTTCCTTATTAGAACATTTGGATAGAAGGGTGTATGGTAGGAAAGTAAACACAAGCAGGTGATAGGAATTTTATTCTTAGCATGTGTTTCGACCTGAAAGTCTTCGTTTACGACCATACTGACTACAGTAATGGTTGCATGAAATTCCTTCACTCTTATAATTAAAGTTAAATAAATTAATTTAGAAAAAAAAAAGCAGCAGAACACAAATGGAGGATTGTTGATCACTTACCGAACAGTGTGCCGAAGTTGCTCTCCATGCTGGAGGAGATGGCCCCGTTGGCGATGGCGTCGAAACAGGCACTGAGGGCACAGGCGCAGGCGGAGGTGCCGATGAGCTCCTCAAGTATCATGTTCCAGCCAATGATGAAGGCCATGAGCTCCCCAACGGTAACGTAGCTGTACATGTAGGCTCCTCCCGATGTGTTGGGCACCCGCACCCCGAACTCAGCGTAGCACACACCTGTTGGTCAAGGCAACACAGGTAAGTCCGAGGTATCTCAACATCACCCTCACCGTACTCCTCCCCTCACTGTCATTCATACACACACACACACATATATATATATATATATATATATATATATATATATATATATATATATATATATATATATATATATATATATATATATATATATATATATATATATATATGTCATGGGTTGCGCTGGGCCTCCCGCACAACCCATCCCAAATGTTTGTTTAGGTAGAGATAAGGTACCCGGCCAGCCGATAGGGGTCATCTCACGCCTCAAAACCACATTTTAGCCAGTGGGCTTTAGACCTTGGGTTATAGAAGACCTCCTGCTCCGCGGATTTAGAACAGGGGCCATACAGTCCTACCAGTGCTACGAGTCTGTGTGTGCAAATCCCCGAGATTGTTGTTAAGTCCAGCGACAAGTTAACACATCCTGTAAAGGAAGTGATCAATGGTGAGGGCCTGTTTGCTACAAGAGCACTACAGGCCGGCCTAATAGATCTAAACGATTAATTCTCCAGGTTGACAAACTCTCCCTTATAACTTACGGTACTGTGGCGTGAATGTGAGTGACTGACCTATCCATGCAAATTATAAGTCCAGTGTATGGAATTGTGCCAAATAAACGTAAGTGCAATTATCTGCCCGTATCTGTGACCCCTCTATTATTATTATTATCAATGGTAATGACTGATTGGTTATGACAAAGTATAACCAATAACTTAGATGGATTTTGGAAGTTAATGGAATTCATTAAATCATCATTTTTCAAGTACACAACGAATTGAATGCCGGAAGCAGAGTGAAATTCTACGTAGTGATACACCATAATCTCCTGGGTGAGTAATCAGTGTGAAGGTATCTGAGTTCTACGGTAAGAAAACCACTTTCTTGCATTTAAAACCTATCAATGTATATTTTTTAAAACCTCTGACTGGCCGTATATGATCATATAAAATATGAGTGACTGAATAAATTAATAGAAAAACCTGACCTAACTTAACCTATTTTATGTATAATTTGGCTATTTTATGATGGAAAACGACATCTTCAATGAATCGACAAATTTTATCATATACAAATGAATTTCCAATAAGTTATAATAATAAAAACAAAAGGTTATCCATATTTGAAAACAAAAATACTAGTTTTGCGAAATATGGATAACTTATTAATGGAAATTAATTCCTATCTGGTATTCTTTGCTCTTTTTCATTTAGGACGTCGTTTACCACCATATGATAGCCAAATCATACCTAAAGAGGTTAGGTAAGGTGTGTGTGTGTGTGTGTGTGAACAACGTATACATAGTATATAAGAAAATATCAGTTTAAACATAAAATCTGATATAATAACAGCTCAAAGCTAATATCCTTATCCTTAAGGTTAAAACCTAATGTAAGAAGTATACGAAAATCGTCGACGGAAGGAGAAAAATAAATGTTTTTAGAAAAATTTGAAGTATAGGTGTGATGGCTGGCGACCAAACCTTTCTGATTTTGTATCTTAGGTAATCCAACTTGTTATTTAATTCATCCATCTGGACTCCTTCCTTCTCTGACGTTTCCGCCTTTAAATTTCCTCATCAATTTCCATCTCTTATTATTCCTTTATTCGTAAATATATGGCCATATAAAGGATGTAATTTCTATCGTTTTATAAATTTCTGGTATTTCTCTTGGTTCTCTGGTCAGCATGTGCTTCTTCGATTGTTTTTCTGTAAGTGAGACTAATGTTCAGGAACTTCCGGCAACACCACAAGTCGAAGGCCTTTAACATTCCAGCAACATGTTAAATCTGATCATGTATTTAACCTGTACAACAATAGTAACTACAGTATATTATTGTATTTGAGCAGCAATTTTATCAAACTGAAATTAATGTTTATTTTCACCAGATCTCTTAGAGAATCGAAGGCTATTCTATTTCAATTTCTATTTCACATCTACCAATAACAGACAGAATTGTGAAGGTCGACTACTATTATAACTTATGTTATATCCCAGTTACACAAAAATTTCCGAGCTGTTTAAGGTCTCTGTTGCCTATCATAATATTGACTAATAGGCGGCTGCATTTATGAAAAAAACTCACCTTACCCTAAAGAAATTCCTACAAATGTTTCTCAACTGTTTGTTGTAGTATCAGGTGTGCTTCATAACATATCAAAAGTCTACCACAGTCTGACCACGAGAAAGGTCTAATTTTCAAAATGGCGTCGAATAGCCACCAAATCCTTCATTATTCATCCTAGAGAAGTAATTTTGAAGTCTAACCCCATGTTTTGGTGGCCTAGGAATCTGTTTGGCTTGTTAAAAAAGCGACATGATTACATAATTGTGAAATCCAAGATACAATTTGCTTTGTGTGACTGTTTATTTACATTATTTATTTACTGACTTTATTTACTAATGACCTTCGCTTTCGCATCTTTTCAGGCCTGACCATGAGTGCTAGCACTGTAAACCAAGAGATTTGCCCCATTTGCCGTGAAGACTTAGATGTTTCTCATGTGGTTGAACTTCGTCAGAAGGGAGCTGATGGAATCAACAGTGCGAGTGTGCAAAGAGGGGATGATGTAGTCGTTTCAGCTGGTGAAAAAGTACACATTACATGTCGAAAGAGGTACATCAATCCAATAGACATTGAAAAAAAAAAAAGAAAGTTGAGCTACCAAAGAGAAGTGCCAGAGTATCATCCAGTCCGTTCAACAGCCAAACGGATTGCCTTTTCTGTGGGACTACAGTAACACCAAGAGGTGCAAGCTTTAGTTATGTAAAGACCGATACGTTTGTGCAGACCATTCTTGAGTGTTGTGACAGTCGTTCAGATGAATGGGCCTTCACTGTGAAAGGCAGGATTGAATATTATGGCTGTGATCTACATGCTGCAGACTGTATTTACCATCGTTCTTGCAGTGGTAATTTCCGGTCTGGGCTTAGCATACCACTACAGTTCCAGAATGTCCCAGAGACACAGCGCATCAGCGACGTGGGCAAAACACCCGCCCGATCATCAGCTTCAATGCAAAACTGAGTCTGTTGGAAGAAAGGATGATTTCCTTTCCAGATCTTGCAACAAACAAGGACTTATTGATCTTGTAACTGAGGAACTACAGAAGAAGGGCTGCACTGTTATCAATGCATTAGGGGATGCAGACATGGACATTGTCAAGGCTGCAATCAAGGCGTCACATCAGCTCACGACCTTGATAGGGGAGGATACAGACCTGCTCATCCTTCTCCTCTACTATGCTGAAGCAAACAATAAGGGCCTCTATTTTCGTTCGGACAAGTCCACAGTTCCTAAGGTGTACAACATCAGTGAGATGAAACAAGTCCTGGGTAGTGACATGTGTTCTCAGTTGCTGTTTATCCACGCTTTCACAGGATGTGACACAACTTCCCGCATTTTCAGTGATGGCAAAAAGTCAGCGTTCCAGAAACTTGTGAATGGTGAGTTGACCATTCAGACCTGTGCGAATGCGTTTCTGCTCCCAAATCAAACAAACAGTGTCATAGAGGACCTTGGGAGCAAGGCGATGGCAGTTCTGTTTGGCGGCAAGAGTACCGATTCACTTGCCTCTTTGCGCTACAACCTTTTGATCAAGAAAATTGTCTCCGCCAAGTCATTTGTTACCCCAGAACGTCTCCCTCCTACCAAGTCCTCGACTAAATATCATAGCGTTAGAGTGTATTACCAGATCATGGTGTGGACTGGAAAGGAGAGTGACATGAATGCAGTGGATTGGGGATGGAAACTGGAGGACAATCAGTTTGTGCCAGTTATGACCAAGAAAACTGCTGTGCCAGAAAGCCTCCTGCAGATGGTCCACTGTAATTGCACAACTGCCTGCCAAACACGCTGTAGTTGCAGAGAATAACGACTACCATGCATACCAGCTTGTGGACCATGTCAAATTGAAAGCTGTGAGAATCCATATAATCAACCTTTACAGGAGGAAGAGTGTGACTATGACTATTTGTAAACCTGGTTCAGATCAAAGGCATTTTTCAGAAATATATATTATGGGGTTTGTTATAACTTTTTACCAGTAATCACTACAAGATGTTAAATATGCAAATTGGTTTCCTAGATGCCCAAAACAAGGGGTCAGGCACCAGAATTACCTGTCTATGATGAATAATGATGGAGTCATTGGCATTTTCATAGTTTGGTGGCCATATTTGTCCGCCATCTTGGATTTTTTAATTCTGTAATCACTTCACTATTATTTTAAATATGCTAACTGGATTCCTGGATCCCCAAAACATGGGGTTAGACAACGAAATTACTTGTCTAAGATGAATTAGAAAGAGTAATGGGCATTTTCATAGTTTGGCGGCCATATTGGTCCTCCATCTTAAATTATGTAATTATGTAATGACTTCACTATAATTTAGATATGCTAATTGGATTCCTAGATCCCAAAACATGGGGTTAGGCACCAAAATTACTTGTCTAGGATGAATAATAAAGGAGTAACGGTCATTTTAAGGATCTTGTTGCTAACTTCGACGCCATCTTGAAAATTAGACCTTTCAAGCTTTTTAATATTTAGTTTTGCTCTCTTCCCCACTTATTTATATTATTATGCATCTGAATTGTTGCTCAATTTCATGATCTTCACGTCTTTCCCCGAACATTACCACATATCTACTTTGGGTTTCACTTCCAGATTCTTTCATTGCCTCTGTTTTCAACCCCCTTAAATCCTATTCAATTTTATCTAATTTCTCTTCATTAATTCATGAGTTTAGCCTTCCTATGCTCATTGCTGGGGGATGATGCGAATAGCAGTCTGCCCCACGATAGGTTACCAAGTTCTTAAATCTATCTAGTATCTGACAACATCCTTTTACCTGCCCTGGGTTACTCTCCTTGTGTAAAGACTCATCGTGTAGTGTTTAAGCCATGAATCTGCAATAATTGTCCTGTTTTCTTTACAATATAAGCAACATATGTCCCCTTTCTTTTTTATTACTTAACTTAACCCATGTATCACTTCATTCCCCCATAATAATTTTGCAGTAGAATTACTCATTACAGTAGAATCACCCATTATAATTAAATACCATTGAACTTCATAGTTAATGTTACCGTCTTTAAATCTTTACAAACTTTCAACAACTCATCCTTATTGGTGCACAAACCTGAATCATTGCCACGGTCATGTGTTTAACATTAAAATTGACTACCTGAACACTATCTAGTACTACTTAACATTCCTTTACTCAGCCACCCAACTCCTATTTTACAAACATAAATACGCCTTTCTTATGTCTTCCAACGCTTGAATATATAAAGTAACATTCGGAGGAACATCTCATTGCTTCCCCTATTCTACATAGACTTCCAAGATCACTGTGCTAATGAGGTACACTCAAAAGTGTCACCTCCACACGTTTTCCATTGGTCTGCGACGGCGTTTTGGGAGAACCTTTGCCTACCCAAACTAATTTTAATCTTGGACTAACAGTTTGTGAAACTTTATCTGCCTCAGAGTATTTTTCTATGTTATATAACTTCCATCAGTTCTGAACATTCTGTTTCAAATATCTTCACTCTTTGGTAATGCTATGCCTCAGTGAATAGATTTGATAATGCCAATCGTCTGTTCTCTCCCAGTCCGTTTTATTTGTAAAAAAAAAAAAAAATCCAGTGATGAAGGAAGCCTAATGCCAATTGTTATCAGAGGAGAATGAGAGAGAAAAAAAAATAGGAATAAGCTATAAAGGGCAGAGGTCGGCGATACTTCAACCTGGTAAAGAATTTCCCAAATTGAAGTAGGAAAAAATTCAGGAAAGCAGAATTCTTCAATATCTTTTGAAATAATGGAAATAAAGAAGAGGGCCTGAACACATCATAGGCTACAGTTATTATTATTCTGAACTGGCTGACATCTACCAAGGTCCGAGAGTACCTACAACAAACTATCTCAGGCTATGGCAAGTTATACTGTAGGAGTAGTTTCCGTGTTAACATCTTTCGTTCCAACAGCAGCACCTAAATACATTAGGACAACAAATTAAACGCCAGCACGCCTTATACTCCTACACTAATAATGCTACAGTAACTGTAGTATCTCAGTTATTCAGTGATGTCTAATTCTCATTATAGAGACTGAAGCTGCTCAACCGTAGATGAAGTAACGAGTTCTTCCCCGCTAAACCAACCATCCCTCGATTGAGTAGACATTCCCAGGGTCGATGAGGAGTAACATTCCACAAGACACCAACAACTCAGACAGAAAAGAACCTCTGTCTTCAAGTTCCTGACTGAGTAAAGCAGCTCCACGCATCACGAAACTATTGGGCCGGGGTCCACACACAGTTACTGAGAAACAAACTTAATCTCCTGTAAACTGATACAGCTGCTGAATTTTTATCGGAGAGCAGAATATTATCTTATATTTAAAAACAATTATTATAGCTGTCCTGGGCACCAAACAACCAGACCTAAAATAGTTTAATGAATACCACTCAACACTATTACACACACACACACACACAAACACACACACACACACACAAACTCCTGAAATTTAAATCCAAACGCTCCACGACCCCAATTGACCTCCCAATCAAAATATACAAGGAGTTTGCAGTCGAACTTGCCACCCCCCTCTGTTCTATTATTAATGCATCCCTCAGACAAAGCAAATGCCCTAATAAATGGTAAACCGCATTTGTCACCCCCCCCCAAGGTCACCACCCCACAGTCCCCTAACGACCTCAGGCCAGTTGCCATTACCCCCATACCCAGTCTACTTTGGCAATATGAGGACCTCCTCTACATCACACTGCTTGGTGAGCTTTCTGGATTTTCTGCACAAAAACTTGCAGAAACGTAAGACATCACTGGCCGTTGCCCTTGTGGACTTCAGGAAGGCCTTTGACCTTGTTGATCACTGCACTGTTATCAACAAGGCTATTGCACTAGGGCTGCCCACCAACCTGGTCTCATGGCTCACTGATTTCTTGAGTGGACGTCGCCAAGCAGTGAGGTATCAGGGCTTGGTCTCTACATTCCGACACCTCACCTGCGGTGTTCCCCAGGGGACCAAGATGGGACCACTGTGCTTCCTCATCCTGATCAACGACGCTCTATCGGACACTCCTCACAGGTGGAAGTACGTGGATGACTGCACTGTGGGGGTTTCAGTGGACAACACCGCACCAGACTACTCATCGCTCCAAGGCACCCTGGACAGGCTACAGGCATGGACTACAGAGAACAAGGTCACCATCAACCACACCAAAACCGTAGTCATGCATATCAATACCGCCACCACTCCAGTGCAAGCCCCAGCAGTCACAGTGGGTGCCCATCCTCTCCAGCTGCTGCAGTCTGCCAAACTCCTGGGTGTAACTATAAACAACAAACTGGACTGGAAGGCCCATGTAAATAACACAGTCAAGGCAGCCTCG